TTACTATAATGGTACGCATATTTCATGGTGCAGTTTGTGTAGTAATTTCGCGCGATTTAATTTTAAAAAATATAAAACGTGCAGAAACTGGTGCATAATTGTACTTAAGAATGTAGTGCACATGACCCGGTACAGGTCATACTATGCCACCTAGTGGTTATATACTCTCACAACCATTGGTAGACAATTGGAGAAGCAAAATAGTACATATCTTTCATGCACTTTTTATACTTTCTATTTCAACCGGTGTTTGCATATGTGTATCCATCTCTTTATTCGCATTCATTACTAGATAAGCGTACCCATTTAAAGCGGTCAAATCACCATGAATGAATCCAGGGTCACACAAATCTCGAAAGCCAAGCACATTTGAGCCTGGTTCGTGCAAGGCGGATAAAGAGACGGCAGTACAGCGATTGATTCTTGAATCTGGATGCTGAATTTAGAGTACTCACTTGGCACACCAACATTAATGAGTTGGAGCCCTCCAATTGATTTCTTTCGCCAATGTAGAGAGCCCCCTCTAGTGGCTGGTATGAGCCCACTCTTCCAAGCTGGCCTGAGATCATTGGAAGAAGTGGGAGTACTGTACCTACACTTAACCCCACCAAACGCGACCCTGCCGATACATTAACGATTGTGTGTAATACTGCCGGGTGGAGAGTAGGTGGGCGGACGTAAGAAACGTGCCATTGTTTCACCTGCTACGCAGGGAGGGGTCAAACCGGTGACCTCTGGATTGCAAGAACATGAGAAACACCACTAAACATAGGAGGCTTTTTTTTATTGGATTTAGTACACAGAAAACATGTTATAGACACCTTAACCATACAGGTTGTTTCAATGTAGTGTACATTAAGAATGACACGTATATAGAAATATTAATGAAATATTGCCATAAAAATATAAAGCTGCACTCAATGCCGTGTATCTCTTACACACAGGGACGATTGCACATAAAAGCAACTACATAAAACATGTACTGCCTCATTAAAAGGAATGACATTGGATTACTTGCACATGAGGGAGAGGTGTAAATCAAATATACGCATGCTATTAAACTGCACAAAGGATGAAAATGTTGTTTAATTTGGCGAGTTAAACATGACTAACATTGTATTGGCCAGGAAAGCAACCCAAAGACAGCACTTATCGATGAGTTTGATTACGCTCTCAAGCTCCCACAGAACACACATGAGCCATTCATCCAAGATACAGCTTCATCATCGGCCATGATCAATCCACTACTGGATGAAGGTCTCCACAAGCTGCTACCACCTCTTGATATAGTTGACCTCAACCAAAATGATAAGCAACTCATCTCATTTTCAACAAAGTTACACCCATTTGTCAGTGAATAGCATGTCACAGCCTCCGATGTGTGAAGAGTGCATATACATGTACAAGTAGTACTGTATATAGTCGTGAACAAAGCGTGAGCAACAAAACAGTGTTTAGTTACAAATAAGACATTTACATATAAAGTATATAACTTTAGAATATATATGTATTTTTATATTCTGCCTGTGACCTTTCACGTAATTGCTTTATTAAAAAAACATTTAGACACCGAATCTTTCTAACACTTTCATGTCCTTTCTCGAAGCTCCTCAACTCATTCAGTATTTTCACAAGAGCGATGAAAACAAAGAGCACTGAACTGACAGTAATGATCTAGAGTGATATTTCCCCCCCAAAAAATCTTTAAAATATGATGACAGTCAATAAACTCTGAATAAACTGTTCTTAAAAGCAGGTTGTATTTGCATACATTAAAAGTGTTAACGCAAAATGATGTATACTATATTAACCATTGAAACTACGGCTATAAAAAGTGACCACGTGATAAATGGTTTAATATGTGAAACTAAATTCCCATGATAATGCTCTTATGAACCACCAAGTTCCAGATTCCCCAACCTGCCACACACTAGTGGGAAAAAATACAACTTGCTTTCAGTTGCAATATTGTGACAACAGCAACTTCCCTTTAAAATAAAGGCCAATACTCACCGGTAATCACCAAACCTTAAGGCACAGATGTATCAAAAGTTGAATACAAACAATTAAAGAATGCTAGTACGATATTGAACAATACAGAAAGCCATTTTCTATATTTAGTTGTAAGTAAATCTGTATTGATGTAACAAAACATATGCATTCTGTTTCTGCTCAACACTATGGCTTTGAAAGCTACTTTGCTTCCAGTGTAATTTTATAAATAAAGGAAATATGGCAGGTAAGAAATATATTCATTATGCTATGCTAATTTTCCAGGTTAACTGCCACTACTGCTTCAGTATACAACATTTAGAAATGCCTGTTAATTACCTTTGCGAGCAGTGTGCATGTTAACATGTCAAACAATAAACCAAGCCATACATTCTAAACTAGCATTTCAAAGTCAAATCACTGATATTGATGTTCATAAATTTTAAACGGGGGAGGGGAAATTAATATACATATTGCAAAACCCTACATTAATTCGACTTGTCCTACGTGTAGTGAAGTGTGTCAGTCAAATCTAGGGTCTCCACCGCACACTTTACTCTATGAGAGCACAAAATTTAGACGAAGTGTGGAAGCAGTGAATGCTTCCTCCACTACTGTACTCACAAAGCCTACGTGATGGATTTTAATCACCACCAACACCACTTTCGAATCAACTTAAATTATTATAAGGCATTCCCAATGGTACCTTCACATTGCAGCCTTGTGTAGGCTATACCGACATGATTTAAATTCATTTTCTAATGTTTAACTGGGAGTATTTCCTGCAACAAAAAAAGTCGAAGTGATTACAGTCGCTACGTAGCGCACATTCTAATATTGGGGCGAAAAGCTTAAATAGAGAATTCATGATTTTAACATAATTTCCACAAACATAATGTATAAAAGCGACCACGTTGCGAAGTTTATAAACGCACAATACATTTAAATAACTTAGCCACATTAGAGTAACATGCTGCAAAGCAGCCCTATTTCATCTCTAAGTCCAATGGCGACAATCAGTGTAACTACTACAGTGAGGGAACAAAGTATTTGATCCCCTGCTGATTTTGTACGTTTGCCCACTGACAAAGAAATGATCAGTCTATAATTTTAATGGTAGGTTTATTTGAACAGTGAGAGACAGAATAACAACAAAAAAATGCAGAAAAATGCATGTCAAAAATGTTATAAATTGATTTGTATTTTAATGAGCGAAATAAGTATTTGACCCCTCTGCAAAACATGACTTAGTACTTGGTGGCAAAACCCTTGTTGGCAATCACAGAGGTCAGACGTTTCTTGTAGTTGGCCACCAGGTTTGCACACATCTCAGGAGGGATTTTGTCCCACTCTTCTTTGCAGATCTTCTCCAAGTCATTAACGTTTCGAGGCTGACGTTTGGCAACTCGAACCTTCAGCTCCCTCCACAGATTTTCCATGGGATTAAGGTCTGGAGACTGGCTAGGCCACTCCAGGACCTTAATGTGCTTATTCTTGAGCCACTCCTTTGTTGCCTTGGCCGTGTGTTTTGGGTCATTGTCATGCTGGAATACCCATCCACGACCCATTTTCAATGCCCTGGCTGAGGGAAGGAGGTTCTCACCCTAGATTTGATGGTACATGGCCCCGTCCATCGTCCCTTTGATGCGGTGAAGTTGTCCTGTCCCCTTAGCAGAAAAATACCCCCAAAGCATAATGTTTCCACCTCTATGTTTGACGGTGGGGATGGTGTTCTTGGGGTCATAGGCAGCATTCCTCCTTCTCCAAACACGGTGAACTGAGTTGATGCCAAAGAGCTCCATTTTGGTCTCATCTGACCACAACACTTTCACCCAGTTGTCCTCTGAATCATTCAGATGTTCATTGGCAAACTTCAGACGGTCATGTATATGTGTTTTCTTGAGCAGGGGAACCTTGCGGGCACTGCAGGATTTTAGTCCTTCACGGCGTAGTGTATTACCAATGGTTTCCTTGGTGACTATGGTCCCAGCTGCCTTGAGATCATTGACAAGATCCTCCCGTGTAGTTCTGGGCTGATTCCTCACCGTTCCCATGATCATTGCAACTCCACGAGGTGAGATCTTGCATGGAGCCCCAGGCCGAGGGAGATTGACAGTTCTTTTGTGTTTCTTCCATTTGCGAATAATCGCACCAACTGTTGTCACCTTCTCACCAAGCTGCTTGGCAATGGTCTTGTAGCCCATTCCAGCCTTGTGTAGGTCTACAATTTTGTCCCTGACGTCCTTGGAGAGCTCTTTGGTCTTGGCCATGGTGGAGAGTTTGGAATCTGATTGATTGATTGATTGCTTCTGTAGATAGGTGTCTTTTATACAGGTAACGAGCTGAGATTAGGAGTACACTCTTAAAGGGAGTGCTCTTAAAGGGAGTGCTCCTAATCTCAGCTTGTTACCTGTATAAAAGACACCTGGGAGCCAGAAATCTTTCTGATTGAGAGGGGGTCAAATACTTTTTTCCCTCATTAAAATGCAAATCAATTTATAGCATTTTTGACATGCGTTTTTCTGGATTTTTTTGTTGTTATTCTGTATCTCACTTTTCAAATAAACCTACCATTAAAATTATAGACTGATCATTTCTTTGTCAGTGGGCAAACGCACAAAATCAGCAGGGGACCAAATACTTTTTTCCCTCATTGTATAAATTGATGGCAGATGTCATTCAATGCGCCACACAACTAATGCCTACATCAATAGCTAGCACACACTGAAATATATCCTTAAACCAGCAAATGCATGTAGTCACAAAGATAGTAAAGATGTCTTGCAAATAGAAAACACTAAAAAAATATTGCCCATTGCTGGAACAAGTTACATTTCCCTTGAAAATAAACAGCCAATCCTAATATGCATGGGATATTTGATAAGCATGTCCAGCAGCCTAAGAAAATACTTGGGATCAGCACGTTGAAAGTGTGAAATACTAATGCGTTCTTATGAAATGTTACGGCAAGTTAGAGAAACGTGATCTATTTCCCGTCATCTTTTCGGGCTATGATTTTAGGTTGCCTGGTCTAAAGCCATGAGAAGGTCTTTTCCCTGCAGAAGGTTCTGGATGTCCTGGACAGGAGCGTTGACTTCACATTCATAACTTGTGAGCGTTGGCAGATGTACACCTTCAAATGATCTTCCAAGTAAGCAACTTGCCAATCCTGCAGAAGGAAAATGTATAAAAGCTAAGTCGAATGGTATCAAAATAATCCATCCACACAATTAATCACGGTGTCATTATACACAGTTATCCTGCTCCACATGAATATGATATAAGTGTAACAACTAACCTGTAGGCTTTGAGGTTGACAAATACTGCTGTTGAAGTGGTGGACATGCTCTGGTCAAATGTGTTGGCTTGAAGCCCTTCAGTTGACTCATGCCAGTTTGGTCACTTGTTTTGTTGTCGCAAGGCACTAAAATGTAGAAAATGTACACATGTAATCAGAACAGTGCAACAATGCAAGCACATCTATTGCTCATTTACAGCATTTTATTCGTAAAAGTGCATGATGCAATGTGACCTTACCTCTAATGTTTGAAAATGACAAAGATTTTGCCTGTGGGACTCCCTTTCCACTCGTGTCATCCCAAACCTTGCTGCGTTTCCACGGGGGGTGTGATGACAATGTGGTGGCAGCTGCATCTTCATACACCATGTGCTAAATATTTTTGCAAACGTTTCAAATTAATTGGAGTTGTCATTTAGCACCTATTACCGTGAATAAAATATATAAAAACGCCAATTCCAGCCACAAGCGAATGTATTCGTCGCATTTTTTTTAAACGTCATACTCAAAGATGCCTCTTGAAATGTCAGGATTAAAATATGAAATTTCCAACGTTATTTTAATTTGTATAATGTCGAATAATTACGATGTTTTTTTCCCTCCCAATGTCCTATATGCATAACTATATTTTCTTTAAACAGCATTCACATATTTGAATCTAAGGCAACAACAAGAAGAATTTTGAAAATTGTAGCTTATTGGCATTCATATGATTTTATTGACACCATTACACCATGGCAATGTGGTTATAACTTACCGTATACGGGTTTTTGAAATTGATTCCACCATCAAGGTGCCACTTCCGCTTTAGGTTACTTAATTCGGGAGAACGTTTGCAAGGTCCAAAGTCCTGTGTGCGATTTCCCAAACATCTGCAGAAAGGATAATCATTTTTAATAATTGTCATCAGCGTCAATAATATATATTTTTTTATGAAACATGTAAACATTTGAATTATACCTTTGGTACATTTGCATCTGTGCAGCCACTGAAGCGTCTCGCTTAAATCCCTTTTCACCATCCAGAAAATGCCTCCCATCATATAAGTTGCTAAAAGAGTTTGATTTGTATGGCCATGAACTGCCACATTTCCCAGCAGCAGCCAAGCCTTGATCTGTGGCTCCATAGAAACTGCTGTCATTATATATGGCAGGCTTTGTTACGATGATGCCCTGTGAAGCCCATGCATCTGGAAGCTTGGATGCAGCCTGTGGTTGCTGCGAGTGGGACGGTATCTGCAGTTTTATGGATGATCCTTGACGACAACAGTGCTGGTACATTCTTGACAGGGGATTTGGTGATGCATTTGAAAGCTGCAAGGGTGACGGTGTGGCCATTTGCTCCTGAAGGCTTAGTGAACACAGCTGGAAATCTTCTCCGTCCATTGGAATATAAGGTGCAACCATCTCAAGGTCCACTGTACTATAATCGTCCTAAACAAAAACACAAAAAAACATACATTAGGTTTTAACCATACCTTTTTAGGCAGAGTGTTTTTCAAATGATTCATGCCGTCGGAAAGATGGTGCATTTACAGTGTATTTTATCCACTGCTGTTGCTATGCTCATCACATCATGAGACCTCCTTTGCCAGTACCAAAATATGATGTACGCCTTGTGGCGTCCTCTGGTCTAACACCGTTTGAGACGAGGCTCAAAAGAAAGCTGTCTCTGTTGTGGACCAATCAGTTTCAAGGCCAATGCATATATTATCAGAGTGTTTTTTTTGCATTCTGACCACAAGTATTGTGGTTAATGCAGACATGATTCCTCGAAAAAGGTTCAGTTTGGTGTTTTAACATCTTAACAGCTAAATTTTGATTTAAAGCTTTCGTGACTGCAGTAATTCATATTCTTAGTTTTTTCGGTAAAGTCACGTTGAAGAGAAACAACAAAATAACAAAATATATATAAAACAATAAAAAATTCTCACGACGTTTCGACCATAACTCAAACGGTCATCATCAGGTGTGTCGGTTTGCATAAATTTATTTTTAAAACGGCACATTTATTTATTTATAAAAAACGTTGGCGTCACGCGCAGCGATTGGCAGTTTGCCCAGGACTAGTCCATCTATTTTTTTTATTTGTTTTATTTTTTGAAAAGAGGAGGGGGGAGACGAAAAAATAGATGGACTAGTCCTGGGCAAACTGCCAATCGCTGCGCGTGACGCCAACGTTTTTTATAAATAAATAAATGTGCCGTTTTAAAAATAAATTTATGCAAACCGACACACCTGATGATGACCGTTTGAGTTATGGTCGAAACGTCGTGAGAATTTTTTATTGTTTTATATATATATTTTGTTATTTTGTTGTTTCTCTTCAACGTGACTTTACCGAAAAAACTAAGAATATCTTAACAGCTGTTTTGTTGCCAGAAAAAAGGGGAAAAAACCTATTATCATATGCTCATCACCTTCACCAATACACACTGACCAGCGTGGTGAAGTATGGTTAAATAGCCCCCATGACTTGCATTGTTGGAAGGCAAATCCTAATCCATTAGTGGATTGACAAAAATAGCTATATATGTATTTTATAATGTCAACATTGGAAAAGCAAAGTCTCCACTAAGAAAACAAAAAACAGATCTTCGTATATGTTATGCTGTGGACCATTTATTTGTATCCCAAAACGTTTAATGTTGTGACCTTAGGAAGGTCCTTCTCATCTGGCATTCTGGGGAAGTGACCAACCCATTACTGTTGTCCTCTCAGCTCACTTATCATCTTGGCCCACAGCCCGCATGGGGCACTTTCAGCGTTTTATCCCACTAACAGCTGCTTTGACATAATGAATTCGTCACTAGAATCGTGGTCCTTACCAATTGAAATATTACAAAAAAACAGTGGCTTAAAACCAAAAACAAGGACATCGTTTTTACATTACAAATTGTTCTGTTCTTCAGGCCATGAACAACTCGTGGCATGCACACTGAATGAAATATACCTGGCTTAAGCTATATACTAATTCACAGGGTTTTATTACAGCTAATGGCAAGTGAATCAAATGGAAAATGTATTGTGTGCATATTCCTTACTGTTATCTCAATTAGACAATGTTTCTATTAAATAAATATATATGTATCTATATATAATTCAAGGGATTCTCTTAATTCACTGCTGGATGTATGTATTTTTTACTTATTTTGCACCGTATGTAGCGAACCATGTTAATCGGAAGTGCAGAATGATGGCTTCCCCATGTTGTTTTGACTATGGGGGTTGTTTGGCCATCATTCACCATGACGGGGAGTGTAAATTGGGGTAAGGGGGCCCAGGACAAGTTCAGATATAATTCAAAACTGATGTAAGCCATGGTTATGAATCGAACTCAGGTCACCTACTTCAAGTGCTATCCACTGTGCCACTGTACCACACCTTTTAAATATCGAGCATATAAAAAAATGTACTCTCAAATGACTCCACCAGCCACAATCATATTATTACTTGAATGTAATAAACGCTTTACCCAAACACTGCCAGCATCAATATGTGCAGACAAACTTTAAACAATTTCATTTCAGAAATGTCAATATTCGATTTCATTACCTGAGTGTAAGAGTTTTGTATGTCTGTACTTTTAGCAAAAAGTTTCTCCACTAACTCCACACGCAGGTCATTGCAGCTGGCATAGACATCTTCTGGGCTTCCTGGCTGTGAAGCACAACACATTATTAGTCCTGCAAAAATGTATCAGCAGCAGTAACAATCCACTGCTGGATGAAGGCCTCCCCAATCTGCCACCATTGTCTCACAATCCTGCAATATAACTCTCCAAGCATCTGAACACGAGATGATCTCATTGATCTATCTCCTCCAATGATGTCCTCTCAGACACGTTCCATTCCTCGGCGGCCACTCCTCCATCATCGGTCCATCCACCTGACATCATTCTTTGTGCCCATTGACCTATTATATACAGTGGTCCCTCAGTTTACGATGCCATCGATTAACGATATTTAGATTTTGATTTAAAGCTCTCGTGACTGCAGGGATTCATATTCTTGGTTCTTTCAGTAAAGTCAGTAGGCTCACATGAGATTGACTTCTCCAAGACAGAGGTTCTTTGCAAGCCATCTGGCTACCATGAAAGATTCGTTAATGAGGCTATCCACATATACAAACACAGAGACAATTTCAACCGAGAAGATGGATTCTGGCTTAGCAATCATTGGAAGGATTTGATAAACCATTTCGGGTCTTAATTGATTGTTCACGCTTACGGTGACTTTCAGACCGCATCCATTATTTTCGTCTCCCCCCTCCTCTTTTCCGAACATAGATGGACTCGTCCATCTGAATAACTGCCAAATCGCTCTCCGTGGTGCTAACGTTAAAAAAAACCGCCACTTTTTTCAAATTTTCTTGCTGTGGTTTTCACACCTGATGATGATTGCTTGTGTTGCAGTCGAAATGTCGTGAGAATTGTATTGTTTTATATTTTTATTATTTTATTGTTTCCCTTCTACGTGACTTTACCGAAAGAACAAAGAATATGATATTTAGATTAACGATCCGCCTCCCATAGGGTCCCATCGTTTCTATCAATGATGCATTTCGATTAACGATATGTTTAAGATATCACATGGCTGCTCATTTTAGCCTAATCGGAGCAACTCCTATGTGGACTCGGCAGACCTCAGACAATCAGCGACACCCTTTTGTGAATGTTTTTGAGAGGAACTGGCCAGCTTTTGAATGTGTGATGTGCGTTGCTTATGGAAACAGCTCTTGAATACGTAATGGTTTTTTTTACGTTAACGTTCTTAGCCTAAGGTGAGACTATTAAAACTCTATTCTGTTCTTCTAATGTTTATTTATTAAACTTGCATGTTTAAATATTATAAAATATGCTTTTGTTGGTTTTGCGGAACCAATTAATATCGTTAACCGAGGGACCACTGTATTTGTTTAGTGACGTACAGTGCCTCCAGTGGTACCCAGCATTAAGTGCTAATAATAATCTATTATAAACATCTGCAGCGTTGCTTTGTGAGAGAATGGATGATTGCATTAATTTATTCTGAGTCATATGCCTTTTCATATTCTACAAAGGTTAGGCAAAATGGTCATTTGAAAGTCATTCGTTTTTCCCAGAATATGATTCATAATTTCTACGTATGTGGTCAATGAAAGATAAACCTTTCCTCAACCCTGACGATCTTCGTAAACTATTTATATCCTTGGGTTTGGGGATATGGCTTGCTAAAAAAAAAATAAGTGCATTATATAAAAGACTCCTCATGTAACGGTAAAGATAAGAACAATTAAATCTCACTGTGATTGTCACTTACACAGGAGCTTCCCGTCTCTGATGAGCTGGGAGTTGATGTGCGAGTTGACATTTGGTGTGCGGTAAAAGGGGACACTTGTGTGTCTCCTGAGTCAGTCGGTGCCTGCTTGCCAGTCCTCTTCGTGTCTGGGTCACACCGAGTCGTGTCGTCGCAGAGAGGCGCGCTGTTGTAATTCTGTAACCCACAACCTGTGTGCGGCAAAAAGCGACACAACAAAGTCCAATGAGTGCACGTGTACATTCCTGCTAAGTGCAACCATTTCTAAGGTGAATATATTGAATCGGTTCATGTTTAATGTTGCTGCATGAGAAGCACAAACATGCCGTTTATTAAATGTCATGGGTTACTTTATCCGTTAAGTATTTTACGTGCAAAAGATGCAACATTAGATCTGTAAAAACATTTTGATACTGAGAACATTCTCTGCCACACCAATAACAGCCTCATGTTGAAAATCAATCAGTTTGCAAATTAACCTCACCATAACATCAATATGCATTCAAGTTAGGAGTTATTCACTTAAAAAATACGGAACTTTGTATGGGAGCGTGTGCATTTACACAAAACCCTCTCGGAAGTTGTTTCATTATTTTCTTCTCATTAAGATGTCAAACTCACAAAGCCATTGGGCGTGTGAGTAGAGAATGTATTTAGCTAAGCTGGCACTGGTTATAGTGCCAGACCTGCAAGACTAGAAATTGGAAGGTTGAGAGACAACTTGACTGGGTCAACAATGGTCATGCCAGAGATAATGTCCTCAGGCCACAGAAAGAAGAAACTTCCACCATTGTCCAAGAGCCACCAACTAACTACATTATCTCATTCTCGTTGGAATAGGGAAATACTTATTTATAAAACATACTTTATACGTGTATATAAATATTTCAAATTCTATTCCAATTGTGCTATCGGCATCATATCATAAGACAAATCATCAGTTTAGATCTTCCGCAGAGGAGTGAGGAACCGCCCTTGGAAGCAACGATCACAGATGTACATGAAAGATCCTATCAAGTGACCTCTGATCCACACAGTAGAAGGCAGCATTACCCCATTCCACCCAACCAGAGACGTACTTTTAACTTTGACCTGAATGTAGCCATGCAAGGCTTTGGCATAGCATGTCAACCTCACCGGTGCTGTTGAATTGAAGGGGCACGATGGTGTCGCCAGGAGTTGGTGCCAGCTGAGCCAACTCATCGGGCTCCTCCTTCAGCATGGCGTACAGCCGGCCACTGTCAACTGTTTGGGGTGCCTCTCTTGGGCACGCCTCGTCGCCCTCAGCCCCCTGCGCCGTGTCCTGCAGCTTGAAGAGCCGCTCCGTCTGCTCCAACGAGAAGATGGTCGTGTTCTCCTCTACCCCACTGGTGATGAAAAGAGCGCAAATTAAACACGGTTAAATTATTAACTTTGCGACAAGCATAATTTTAACAAGCTGAAAAAGTACCTTTATTACCTTTGATGTGAGAATACTGTAACCTATAATTATCACACAATGACGTGATAATTCCCAAGGTGATGAACCATCGCTTTTTTTCACTTACTATAATGTTCGCTATAAATCACTGCTGTGTAACTTCTAAGAAATACATCCGTTCGTACCTTAGCACGTAGTGGATGCAGACAACCGACTGTGGCTGAGCACTGCGGCTGTTGTAAATGACAGAGGCTTGCGTCTGCACCCAAACGTAGCCACCATGTTTGGCCAACATGCGGTACTGCCCGGTCTTTGCCTGTCCCTTTGAAAACACTGAGACAATACAGAAAAACAATACCACAAGGTGACGTAGAAATGTATTATGAAATGCATTTTTTTTGCTCAATGACATTAGTTATAAAACTAAGTACAGTAAAACCTTGGATTGCGAGTAACTTGGTCTGCGAGTGTTTTGCAAGACGAGCAATTTTTTTTTAATAAATATTAATTTGATAAACGAGCGAGGTCTTGCAATACGAGTAGTACGTATACGCTATGTCTGCCGAGCGTCACGTGATCACAACTGATATACGAGTGCTTTGATATACGAGTGCTTTGGATTACAAACACGTTTCCGGAACGAATTATGCTTGCAATCCAATGCTTTACTGTACATATAAAGTTAAATTACACAACAAAATGTCACTCTGAAGATTAGTACAATAATTACTTTGTTTTTTTTAAGTTATTCCCCTTATTAGGCTGTATATGATATTAAAGCCTATCCAAAGGAATACAAAACAAGTATTTTGCACCAATTCAAAATGTGGAAAGATGTTCAAACACACATGCAATGTTTTTGAGCTGTTTTTAATCCAGCTAATAAATCATCTCTCGGGGAGCTGTGGTATAGTAATTTGTGTACTGCAATCTGAACCCGGTTACCTGGGTTTGATTCTCCCTTCATCAACCCACACTAACCAGGATGGTGAAGTATGGTCAAACAAACCCCTTGACCCACACCGCATGCGAATTACGTAATAAGTCAACAGTGGTCATCCCAACTGAAAAGAAACCACTGCCACAGGAATGTGAAACCACCACAGGCTCAGGGCCACGAACAGAGATGACCACCTGCACATTGCTCATATTGAGCAGGAAGATATATGTCATTTGACTTCAACGTTTTAATCATCAAAATGAATGAAAATCCAATACTTACAGCTATGGTGGCTTTTGGTAATGTTATCAGAGTCTAATGCATGATAGTATTCATACACAGACTTTCCCAAAAGCTCCTCTGGACAATATCCAATCAGGTCAACGACTCTAAAAAAGAAAACATTTCATCAAACTATATGTTAAAAATACAAGGTTCAATATGGTCAGTTACATTATTCACTTTATTTTATTCACATTCTGATGCTAACCAAAGCAACAAATCTTCACAATAATTATTAAACATGATACGATTACATAAACTAAAATTACATGAATACAATATTTACTGAATTACGTGCAAACACAACCATTGGCACTGGTGAAAGATAATGTCAGGGTATTTTCCAGGGTCTGCAAGGCAAACATTTTAAAATAGAAATAGTGCACAAACTATAACATAAGCAATAATTTTAAACTGTTTAGTTCATATTCTTGAAACAAAAATAACCTCCAAGCCCTCTCAAATGTAACCAAGGTAAACTGCCTACTTTAGTTAACTACATATTCTCTCACTCCAATTCAGTGCTGTATAATTTTTAATATATACATATATATCTCACATGTTACAAAATTGTAAAAAATATATCGATGGAAATTTGTCTTGTGGCCAAAATTATCTTATACAGTATCTACAGTAAATATCCAAAGCTCATGATCTGCAATACCCACATACTTCCTTACACGTTACTTTCACATTGCAATGTCATCCTTGGGCAACATCCAAGCATTATACTGTACATGCCAGCAATTGGTGGAGATGGCAACAAAGCATGAAGCTCTCGAACTTTCCAAACCTGTCATCACAATAGGAAAACTTCATGTCCAGGGTGTGGCGGCTGAGAAAGGTGTGGCTGTCCAGAGGAGCCTCCAACTCAGCAGGATGTGGGATGGGCTGGCATATGAGGACTAAATAAGTTTGTGCCGGGTCTTTGAAGCCATGGGAACTTTCGGTTTGTGTCGAGCTGCTGCTGCCACACACCTTCTGGTGCCCACTGCAGTTGAGCACCTTGAATCATAAATACATAAACTTAGGTCACATATTCATTGTTCACAAGCCTACAGGAAGAAGTTATGTATTTGGACATACAAGGCTAAACCAAAATACACCGTATTCTCATAATTAAAATACAAACTCGGCCCCCCCCCCCACCTGGCATTTTTAATAAAAAAGTGGGAGTGCATCTTATGATCCACTAAGCTTGTTTGTGTTTGTGGGGCCAGATGTGGATAACTATATTAACACCGGGCAAAAGTCTGGGATGCATCTTACTTTCTAGAGCGACTTTTATTCCAGGATATCTAGTATATACGTGGTTTTTTTTCGTATTTTTAAGGTATATATGAGGATATATCATACAATTGTGTGTTGTGGAGTGAGCATACCTTCCATGAGGCAGATTTCAGGTTGACAGTTCTGCCCCTGTTCGTGATAGTGCACTTCATACGCATCAGAAAGTCAATTTCAGTTGGGGTCTCTTTATTTTTTTTTGCCGAACCTAGGGGAAATGAAAGTGGATTTTTTTATCCAACATTTCTAACCAATACAATAATAACATACACGTACAGCCCTCTTATCATTCCACTGCTGAATGAAGGCATACCCATGCCACTTGTTTGAATAACAAAGGAGATAATGCACATTTACTCTATTATATAAATCAACCAACACACATGCGCATTCCAGTTGACTATGACATTTCTGACACATTTTGATGCACTCAATTCAAGAAACGCATTAACTAGTATCTATTTCAACTTAAATGTTGCTTTGTTTCACCGGCTGCCTTGTGTTTTGGGCCTCAAGGCCTCTGTGAACAGACACATTAATAAATAAATAAAGCGCCACCGACAAAGGGGCTCGTGTATTCTATAACAATGAGCACAGAGAAAAACAAATTCGATGCCACCTGTTTCGCAATCGCAAATGAATGTTTTGCCGCTGGGAGTTACAAAAGCCTTGATGGCTTAAACGAGATTCGCATTGCAAAACGTCCTAGTGGGTATAATGCAACAACTCATCTGAGAAAAGACTTCAGTCGCATGCTACATAACAGTACGGCTGTATAAGGGATTTTTTTTTATATATACGTCAACAGTGTTGAAAATTAGTTGAACCGCAGGTCCGTGTGATGGAGCAAAGTCTGGGCTACTGCCGCCTCTTCCAAGATGTTCGGCCAGTGTGGACGACTTAATTATATCTTCTCGTGGATGGCTTCCCCCCCCCCCCCCCGGGGCAGTTGTGCGAGCAAGCAATTGCAGCGAATTAACCCTTTACTAAAAATAGTAATTAAGCAACGTATGCACTGTTAAGTATAATGTTTAATCCCGGGACATGCGGGATTAAACATTCAAGTTAGCATATTTAATCATTGTACAAATGCAATGTGTTAATGTCATTGCACGCATAAAAATGAATGCTGCATACATTTTAAGTATCACGCAAAGTATTTCCAATGCAACAATCGCATTGATTCCCATTCGTTGTATAACGTATAGCCATAAGAGAAAACCATCCACTGGATATTTTCCCCTGCTTTATCTGTTGTACATGATGTATTTTCCCCATTTGTTAACGATAAGTATGACCTTATAATTTTGGAATCATCTAAAGCAAACAAGCAACGCAGCGAGGAATTTTGGTATCTATAATCTGTGGAGGACATGCTCTATTATGTAATTATCCAGAATTACAAACACCGTCAAACCGCAGAGTTCTGGAGATCCACTGCAGAGTTAATTATGAACCAGAGTTATAGAAATACTGCTGGTAAACTCTTACCTTGTTTGCATGAGAGTATTTCTTTAATTTCTTCATGGTCACATGGATGGGTAAAATCAAAAATACTCTGCCCAACAAGATCCACCTGCAAAATATTTGAACAGAAAAATGTTAAACTGGGACTTTGACATTTCTTCCACAACTCTTGGTAGCCTTGATAATATTCTTTACGTCCACTGTTGGATTTGAACCTAATGAACCCTAAACATTGTCTGTTGTGACTTGGGCAACTTGCAGTAATACACAGTGCTTAAATGCAATGGCTGAAAAGGTATTGTCGTTTTCTCAAAAATATATATTATTGCACTCTTCATGTAGCTTGTGTAAGTACGCTGGCTCGCTGCTTGACGGGCCTCGCGTTAATATATTCCCATGCATCACCACTATGCGGCACTGTCGCTTAGAAAATTCTCCCTTTTCATTAAGAGTGTAAAATGGGAATTTCAGAATCACAAATTTGAACAAATTACATGAGCTGGATATTGTATTTTCTGCACGTCACAACCAGAAGCTAAGACTTTTCATTTGGTATAAACCTTACATCTGTAGACAATGTGCAGATGAAGAAGAATGTGATATATGTATACAGCATATATGAGATCCTGAACTGAATAGAAGTATCTCCCTGTGAGTGAAACTAATAACCTACAGAAAAAAATATCATATAAACTGCTGTAGTGAACGAACATGATATATAGACACAATCTGCAACAATTATAAATTATGTTCTGTAAAAATAAAAATAGTACATCTTACATGTGTGGTTCCAAGGTACTTGCTGACATTATCTGACAGATAAACTATGTCTCCATCGTGATTCATGACCAAGAAAAATCCTTCCAGGACCTTGAGAAAAGCTGGATCGATGTCGCCCATTGAATCAATGTGTTCAGTGGATCCATCTGAAAGGGATGACACCATGAAATGAAAACCAATTCCCAATGTGTAAAAAATTACGGATACGCCATATGTTCACACGCATACCGTATATAAAATGAAGTGCTTCAAATTACCCATGCAATTCCCACCGTAACATATTATACAGGTGCATTTTTACAGCCTTTGTAACTGGCGCACGTTGACCCAGGAGTATTTTTGCAAAGGAGACCAGGATTTAAATAAGTAAAGTTAATTCCAGAAAATTTAATTTTGTATCTTGTTACAAGCGACGATGTGCAGTGCTGCATTTTATTTCTTTAAAGTCTCGCACCTGAATTGTCAAACTGTATTTGGTGGTGGCCAATCAAAGAAACGCAAATGTAAAAGTAATGCAGGTAGTTTGCAGCTGTTACTCAGTAACAGCTATTTTGTCTGACGGGTTGTATTACATGTGAATCACAGCCATCTAGAACTTTAAATTACAGTGCTCTATCCGACGACATCAATATTTTAACCAGACTGTTTTTACAATGGAACATTTATGGAATGCAGAACAGCAGCAGAAAAAGATCCTGAAGATTTTACATGCGCGGAGTGTTGCGTTTAGCCTTCGTTAGCAGTCATGGCCATTCCAGAAGAGTAACCACATATACTGATGTAAAATTTAAAAGCTTCAATACTCATGGAGTCAAATATTAATATCTAATTCACTGTAACCTTCTCAGAATCAAACATTGGTCTAAATAAACGTATGTTTCAAAAAGCATAACGCTACATTACAAAATATCAGAGGAGAATGTAGTATGACTGTCCTTATAACAGCAGTAATTAAGAATTGCTTGCAATATCTAACTTTATTTAAATAATGTGGATTAATTGTTTAAAGGGTTCAGTTAAAATACATTGTTGTCCAACATACATTGTCTCTGATAAATGTTGTCCTTCCCCCCACATCTCTGATTAACATGGTTGGCTCAGTACGGAACATACATACATACAAATAACATATTTAACAAGGTCAAAGAAACGCCCTCACGCTCCTTATAGATGAACATAGCTATTTAAATAATTATTGAGATACTTGATACTCATTACTACGGTATGCCTTTCACTTGTGTTGTACTTCAGAGGACATGTGTTGTTATTCCCTGCGTTCTGCATGTTAAACAAAGCTATTCACAATTCATGAGCAGCTGGAGGTTGCAAGATTCATTAGAGAGGTTGGAACGTGCATATTGCTCATGTTCCATGCTGATAACATACAGCAACAATAACTGGAACATTGTACTTGGAAACTAAATCATTATCAAAATTTGCAAACATTGCACTCTTAAATGCAGTTTAATAAAAAGTTATGAAAGCACAGGTCTACTCACTATTCAGACCTGCCTGACAAGTTAAATTATTGTGCTGGATAAGGATTTCTCAGGTGAAAATGCACACTAGGTTAAGTGGGCTGTACACGTATACTGATTTATTTATTTTTGTCCAACAAAAAAAGAGCCGGGTGTGCGAGTGCATGTCTGTGATCCAGCATTTTCGAGGCATAGAGTCGGTCGATCGCATAGATCTGGGAGACTCCTAAACCCTCGCTCGATCGCATAAATCTGGGAGACTCCTAAACCCGCTGGCCTGCAATGCAGCCAGCAGATGGCTGTACAGAAAGTGTGTTGAGGGCTCATTTGTGCAGTTTTTTTTATTGCGGCCTTCATGAATGTGTGGGTTTACTCCTGGTACTCCGTTTACACATGTAAGCCCCCCATTAACATAACTAACTTAACATATCAAAGTAATGATGCTCCTGAAAAAAAAACTGATATATCGAAGCATTCTGAAATTAATTATTGTTTTACCATTAACAATTATTTTTTTAAAAATTATAGTTTACACATAATTGCTTTATAATTTTTTTAAGTACTGTATGCACATGTACTGGACACAGTGTACTGACACGGTAAGTATAACATACTTTCAAAAATAAATAAATCCCATCTCACAGCACAATTAAATGAATGCTATTTTTTTCCATAGCATACGGGGTGGAGGGAAGTTAGACGTTGCTCTGTCATACGACTCGTTATCTTTTTCAACCTCGGAATCAGAATCTTTATTTATCCTGGAGAAATCCAATGAGCTATGAAGCTCTTTTTCCCAGATTTCCAGTAGGACATCCTTCGGTTATAAAAGAACATGCTACTATGCTCTTTGGTTCTATTCGGTAAAGTCACGTAGGTAAAAAAAATAAAACAACAAAAATCACGACGTTTCGGCCACAACACAAGTATGGATCCTTGCAGTCACGAAAGCTTCAAATCTAGAACATGCTACTGTTATTACAACCTGCCATTGTAAAAGTGTTTGATTGGTGACTGTATTTGAAACATATGCAAACGATCCCTTTGTAAGTTTGTCTCATTCATCCTAAAAAAAAAACAACTACATAAAAAGACAAGCCAAATAAGAGATATCTTACCACACGTAACTTTGGTGACGTGAAAATCCTGACCAAATGCCTATTAAATATAATATTTCTTCGTGCGCAAAACAATTATTGGCCATTTAATTCACAATAACCAATGTATCGTTTGAAACTGCTGTATTTTATTGCACCTACCAATGAGCATCTTTAATGAATTTAATTATTTGTAGTTATTGCACTCAAATAGTGTATCATCCGCACATACCGACATATAAGTTCCAACGTAAATGTGAACTTTCACGATAATGAGGAATGTGTCACATTCCTAAAACATGACCACAGTATATGTACCGACAATGACAGAAATATGTTAAGACTAAACGTTGAGTAAATACATGGAATGTGACACACAGTGGCGATGTTATTTCTCATGTTCATCCACAAGTAGACAAAATAAAATACTGTACACTGTCGTAGTGACCCACTCTATATGGACTTAAACCACACTTCATAGACTGCCCTTCTGTACTTTTTAGTATATTTGCAGTACAGGTTCTGTCGACGCAGCCACCAATATTTCTACCAGTAAGGTGTAATAACAGGAATATTCATAATACGGTATTATAACAACACAGGTATAATAGCCAATTACTTTGATGGGATGAAAAATGGCTTGCCACTAATTCTTGAGTCAGCGTTAAAGAGCGTAGAGTACAATACAAATGTCAATCATGGCCCAAATCGTTTTCATTTTCAAGCTGTAGTTTAAAAAATGAGAATTGACCTTTCATTACGGTTACTATTTAGATTTACTGACCACATCAAACACGAACGAGCCGCAACGCTTTGTTCATATCAATGCGTACCAAACCCTAACTTCATATCAATGCTTACATAAGTGGACATAACGTGCTGCGAACTGTGTTTCTTAACATTGTCCTCCTCACTATTGTCTCAGGCTTTGTTTTCTATAAAACTGCGACCATTTCCGTGTAGTTCTTTAGTCTGGCTCCGATGTATATCCTGAGGACGGAGTCAAGTCTCCAACAAGGTCCCTCACGAGCAACAGGAAAAACTAACTTTGTTCCTAAAGTTGGCAGCAGCAGTCCACACATTCCATACTTAATGGCATTGATTGAATTACAAAGTAGTACTACATGTTCTCATTATGAGATCTGTTGTAAAACTATTTACACCTGTTTTAAGGTTGACGTTTTTAAAGTAGCACTTATCGATACCCAATTCATTCCATTGTATGGATTAGCCCTTCTTTTTAACTGTGATTTTTTTTTTTAGGATAGGAAGGGCAAGAAAACATTCTTAATATCCGTCCAGTATGCTGATAACAGTTAAGATGCAACCCCGACAGAAAGCTGAGCATGAATTTTGTCCATAATTATTTGGACACACAGAAAAAATAAGGGGCACCCAACGTCTCATTTAAGGGCTTTACAAACAAGGTGAACTTTGGACATTCACTGCGATTAATCTCTAAACAAGAGGCTAATAAGAGGCTAATAATGGGAATGGAACTCCAGAATCCCACTACAAGTTCCCTTACCCAATCAAACGCTAACACAATGTTGACAAGATGGTCATTTATATTTCAATGATCAATGATGTTTGTACAAAACAGATAATTACGATGAGGATAATGGATTTTTTTTCAATGTGGCGATTTCCTATTACTGCAAATGACATCGTAACCAGAAGGTAATATGTAAAACATTGATCAACACCCGATCAACTCGCTATATTACTACCTGTGATTATAGTGGAACACACTCTTTTCACAGAAAATAGTTTTACAACTCACAGGATGAATATCCATCTCATCCACCACCCAAATCACAGATAAGAGACATTTCCACTAAAAATGGCTCTTCACCACAGCTACCGGGGCAAATTAAAACTAAATTATTGTATATATTGTTCCACATTTAATAAAATCCAGAACTGCACTTCCCAAAACCGTTGCATTTGGTTTGAAGACAGCTGTACTGGTGAACTTTAAGTTTACTAATGCCTATTACAAATGTTTTTCATGCTATCTACCATTTTTTACGATCGTAACATTTTATAATGTCATATAGTCCGTGTTGAGTGGCGTAATAGATTGTACCAGGTTTATAATTAATACCCGAATGTGCTTACTTATGATTAAATGTTTTCATAAGCTTGAATGCCATGTAAAACAATATAAAACAAGTTAAGATTTCCTGAAGTGTAATCGATTGTTTTTCTAAACTAGTTGATGTTAACATATGAACATGTTCAATATATTTTAACAAGCACTGCTTACTTTATTCCAGTAAAGGGAAACAACAAAAATCCTATAAAGAGGTTAAAATTATACGCATGAGAAAAACCAACAGTGTCCCCAGAAATTCCATAAACATCCTGCCACTGAGACATTTCCTGTCTCCGCATTGAAAGGAGATCGCCCTCCATAACTTAGGCATCAAAGGGTCAAATGCCAAATTTGGTTTGCTCTGTATATTAAGGACATCCTTAGTGTTCTTTGGATGGAAAATGTATTTATTGTTGTGTTGGTTCCCCACTGTGCAGATTTCTCAGGTCTCCCTTGCAATACAACACATTTTTTGCCTCAGCGCTCAACGGAATTTAGCTTTTAAAATGACTAGCAAACCGCACATCCTTCGGATGTGACCGTCTATCCAGCCAGCAAAACTTTGCTTTATCTCATATTGAGCCCTGTCTCTCTCCACCGTTATCTTGCCTTCTCTGTACAGTACATCCCAATGTATCCCGACTTCTCGCTTTGACTCTGATTCTGATACTCTATCTCACCCACATCCCTCCCCTCCATCCTCCCTCCCTGTTTGTCTCTCTCACCTTCTCACCCTAGCTCCCCTTATTCCCACCGCTCCATTTTCTATCTCAATCTCTCTTGCCTCTATCAAATCCTCCGTCCCACTGTTAGTTGCTGTCCTTCGCTTTCCTCTTTGCCTTTTGCTCTCTATATTTACTCTGTTTTATGCCCTTTCACTCTCTCCCCACCCCTCTCCGTCTCTTCCTCCCTCCTCTATCTCCCTCCCTAATCTGCCTCCTCTATCGCATTTGTGTGGGATACACGGCCAGGGTGGAGGGTGGGGGGGGCGTGACGCCAGAGCGATGCACGAACCTGGCTCCACGCTGTGGTATACAGGGGATTTCACTACCATGCTCGCGTGCCGGCCGGGAACCCAGGCAGGAATCCAGCCAGCTAAATATTTTGTAATATACTATGATTGCACTTTACAAAAGCTTGAAATGAAATTACACAAAGGTGCAGTCCTACACCTCCTCGTTCACGCCAGTACTGCCGGTAAAGGCCTCCGCTTGGCAGAGCTCTCGAGAGCCCCTCTCGAGGGTATTTGGCCTACTTTTCCACATTGGCTGGACATCTTGAAAGAAGCATGAGTACCCAGGCTTTACCCACACCACACGTCACTTGCCAATCAATGGATGTGAAATTAGAAGAAAAACAAAAGACGTTCTTAATGCAGGCAATTTTACGGTGGATGCGAAGACGATAATAATATTTTAGGTACAAGGCCATAACTTTACTTGCAAAATCAAGACTCTATTTTGTTATATTTCCAAATGTAACTATTTAGCGTAGTGAGTGGATTTTAATAAGAGCAAGTAACAATTTCATTTACTCAAGAAATGCATTGTATCTTCATAACTGTAACACATAGAGCTGTGTAGCACGTTTTCTTTTCTGGCCAAAATGCTGCTTTAGTCCCTCTCCGCTGAGGTCACGTACCAGAGGCGAGCAGTTTTCTCATCCGCAGGAAGCTTATGGCGAAGCGCATGACGGACGCCTTGTCTAGGCTTGCGCTGACACTTTGCGGCAATGGCAGCTCACGGGCCAGTTCACAAAAGACCTCCGTCTCCTTGCTGCGCCGGCATCTCGCTGCATTTCGAGATTTCTCTTTGCGTCGTTCGGATGTGGCACTGCACGCACAGACGCACGCACGCACGCGCGCGCACACACACACACACAAGCACAAGAGTACACATGTATAGGTCATCTGATGAGCTGCGCTGCAAATGTGCTAAAACCCTTTGTCATAATCGTAAGGGGGCATCTGAGTAAAATCGACACGCAAAGCGGTGGAGCAAGATAATGCAGATCTTATGAACTTGCCATAATTGTTTTTTTCTTCAGTGGGACTTGGTATAAAGGTATTGTGGGAAGATTTATTTCATGTGCAATACTGCATTTTGCAGTGTATATTCTGAGTAGCTTTGTTGGAAAAAAATGTAGGTAACTTGTCCACCAGAGAACACAATTGGAACCAGAGTGGTGGTGATTTACGAAACTGTTTGAAAAGTGATCCAACTACAGCCAGCTTTGATAATTGTTTGCACCATCCCTCAACGCAAAGTAAGAAACGTGATTTTGCGACAACAGAAAGCCAACAATCCAGGTTGATGTTACCAATACACAGACATGTGGTTAGGCCCATTAGTAAGCAGTTTTATGCCAATATTCATGTTAATTTACCCACCACTGGACAATACTGTGACGTTTACAAGATAGTATTTATATACGTACCGATGCACATTGATCAAATTCTGACGAGTTAAGCTGACTGGTTGCATTCGAATTCTCAAAACTGAAATTAAACGTCAAAATACTAAGGTTTGCTCAAACTGCTCTGAAAAGTGTTGCACCTTGTTCGGTGACAAAGTACATATATTGGAGGTCTCAGTAAACAACATGGGTTAGAAATGACCTCAAGTTTAACTATTAATAGACCGAAATTACAGCAGTAGCAGTATACTCCAAAATAAACCAACTGTTTATTACAAATGTTTCACACTGTAAAGGGGGGGAATGATTTACAATATCACGCGATTCACAAGAAATACAAATATTATTGTTAAGTAATGGCATTTAAAGTACTTGGTTAGAAGGAATGTAAGCATGAACTTAGGCCAAAAGTCCAGTTGTTTGATAAAAAATCTACAGTACTTATATTTGCGGTGCGTATATACAGTGTTGTGCCTATTATCTGAACTTAACAAGGGGAAAAAGGTTAGATTAAATAAATTTCGTCAGCGATTTTGCAATTACACATAAAAATTATACAATTGAATGGTAGCCGTAGAATTATTCTGACAGATCAGCTGAAAAGAAGAATATAACTCTTTTATTTGCACAATCATAGAACCTTCAGACCCTCCGCTGGTAAAGTAGAAGCCCTGAAAAACTGGCAGCTGTCCTGAAATGAGTTTGTGGAAAAAATACATTGGAATGTTAATGTCGACATATAAACACATTATAGTACTGTATACCCAGTGTATTCAAAGATGCACTTTAGCTGTTCTACTCGGATACTTATTATTTCATGGGTATTTAAAACTGTATAGGATAACTTACCAGTTCACTATAGACTCCCTAAAATCACAATACTGTATATGTACAGTACTGAGATAAAATGTAAAGTTTGTCAATCCACTGCTGGATGAAAGTATCCTCATGCCGTGTAATTCATATGGATTTAGTTCTTGTCATACTTCACGCTGGTCAGTGTGAGTTTATGCTGGTGGGGTTTACGGACCGGTTCTGATACCGTTCGCCACTAATGATAGCCAAAGCTGGGATCAAATTCAGATCACCAAGTTCACAGCACCACCACTGCACCGCCCCAGTTTTCAGAATTACGGTGTTGTAATTGGGACGAGACCTACTTTAAATGCGTCATTTTCTCATCATCATCATCCATTAGAGATGAACGAATAGTGTAACTATTATTCAACTGTAATATTTGGAATGAGTATGACTAAAATCTATTCATTGCCAAGCAGGGGCCATTCTGCCTTCTGGGTCAGAGGTCAAACCAATGTCTCAGCACAGTACAGAGAGACGCTGTACTGAATGCAGTCCTGACTTCAGATGAAATGTCAAACCAACATCCAGGCAACTGTTAAATTCATTCAATTCAAGGCCGTGATTATAATATATATTAGGGGGGTTACATCCCCCCAATATTCAAATATGCTCAAAATGTCCCCCCCCCCAATCGCTATAAAATAGATTTCTGTTGATATGATTGTGGTTATGGTTGTACTTTATTAATCCCTAATCTCTGCCATTACATACAATGAAACAAGAAAAGGTAAAAAAAAACAGAGCAATGTAATACAATACACTATTAGACATTATTGTAAAAAAAGTCCATCCCATGTGTTGGTGAATTCTTTGATATTTTAGGCAGGAAATTCGTTTTCAAATTTAGATTTTTTTTCTGGGGGGGGGACCCCCGGACCCCCTGGAAGATTTGGTCCCCCCCCCCAATGTTGACTCCATGGCTATGGCCTTGATTCAATTCGATGGTTTGGCCAAAAAAAAAGGCGGCTCTTTTATAATCGATGCAGGCTGGCTCATATTGTGATACACGTAGGACTCGTCCATACCGATCCCATCCCCTCTCCTCTACAGAGGGAATACAACTCGAGGAGTAAGGTTTAGTGCAATGGGCTAACCATCGCTCCAATAATATTCAGGATATGAAAAACACGGTACTGTACAGCAGTACAGTTTGATTTGTTTTCAAACATACACAAGGGCCACCTGGAATGAAGGAATGTGAGGGCCAACGTTGCCATGTAAACTAAAATAAGATAATTATAACACTGTGCTAGGTTACGTAATATATTTTATGACGTTAAAAGCCATGCGGAATTCAACACAGCACTGCAACACAATCTGTGAAATACTGACACAAGTCAAAAACAAAAATACAGGTGAATAAGTTAAATGTGTGAGCCTTTGAAGTCGAGCACGATAACTTTAAAACACTGTAATCAAGATTATTTACCCAGGAGTCCCGATATTTTTTTTATTCAAGATGGTCCAGCATTGGAATGTCTGGCCAAATCCATTGAGCTTGGCATGTGTGATGAAACCGCAGTACCTGGAGAAACTCCAAGCATACGTAGGGGTAATATTCAGCCAGTGCCATCTCCCGGCAACCTCACAAAGCCACGTCTACAACACCTGCTAAACCCTGGAAAGCTGTGAATAAAAATCCAGTACCGTTTTCAATCCTGTAGTTAACTTTAAAAAGTGTTTTTTTTTAATAGCCAGTACACCTTCTCAGTATAGGAAATATGACAATACTGTGCATATATAAATACCTACATTAGTAGCCATTACGTACAGCTAAGACTGACATTAGTAATCAATGATGGACAACATAATAGACATGTACAACAGGCAATCTCTTTTAATTGGCGGAAAAAAACACACATGTAAAACTGCCAAGAACAAATTGTTCTTCCCAACTAAGACTATGTTGGTGATCCACATTGTTGAGTATCAAATATGAAATCGTCAATTCTATCAAAACGCATATGAAACTCATCACCAAATGCAGCCGCATCACCAAAACGATTTAAAACTGTTCCGATATCCACAGCCCAGCACTCGCAAGATACCGCGCTGCATGTCGTTCTGGAGCAGCCTACGCATAGTATAACGAATTCCAAAACCTTTTCAGAAAACGCGAATTCATTCGACTGTCAAGCCAGCATTCGCTGTCTAACTTTTACACGCCAAGAATTGCACGAAACACACGCCACGCGCAGGTTTAATGTACGTGCAATTGCACAAACACCACACATGCATTCAGCAGAGCTAACACATCCAAGCAACAGTCCGAGTCTGTAGAGTTCTGCGAGATTTTGCTTGCGCACAAAAAAATGTTGCTTCCTATCAGATGCTTGTTTGCACAAGTACAGTCGCGTATTGTAGGCTAACAAAGTACACCGCTGTATGTTTTTCCCATGAGCTAAATAAATAATTGCAGTGGCCTGCCTGCTTTGGTTGGCTGGATGTTGAAGTATTGCTCCACAGCTTATCAAATACTGGACAAGTGGTTGATACGATGTACAGTGCTGTGTTTATACTTCACTCAAGTGGTCGACAAAGACAAAAAAAACCCACAACAACCTCAGTCCCGCAATGCAAATGTCATACCTAATGTACAGCGATGCCACAAAGACACATACATACGAACACACGCAAACCTAGCATTGCCATTGCTTCTCGTGTTTCCCACACGCCGCGAATTTTGCTCTCATCCGCGAATGCGGACAACTGGTCCAATCTAGGCAGGCGACAGAACGCGGTGGTAAATTCAGTGAATTCGGTGGCAAGTTTGGTATCGTGCCTAAGACCTCATTGGCTTTAAAGGCAAATGCCGGCTGTCAAGTCGCCCTCAACGATTCTTCGACATCCCGACGACGCATCAGGCCACGCGCCTCTGGCCAATGGGCTCACAAGTTACCGCATCCACCGGATTATAAGACGCCGTAAAGTATTTGACGGCGAAGATTGCACACCTGTCAACCCCGTATCGGTGCCTACCTTATTACAGACCAAGTCAGGCCGTATTGGTCACCCCGGGCCTCTATAAATGTCAACGTTCGTCCTACGAAGCTCTCCGTCACAAGGGAGAAACACAAACAAATAGACAAAAAAAATATATGCCCGTATTGAAACGGCTTCACGCCGTACGGACCTGAAAACGAAAATTCCCTGTACTAGAATACGGCGTAAACCGTGTGAGTTGACAGCTATGATGAGATTGTGTTTCGTCTAACTTCACTGACACCAGGCACACGTTTTGTGGTGCGTCTAACTTTCCGAAGCGGCTTATGATCCCAACTATAATTGTCAAATGTGTCAAGCAGTGTTTGTTGCCGTAAGTCAACTGATGATGATGAAAACAACAACTGTTTTTTGCTCTTTGAGCCATTTAACGAGGAAGCTGAAGGTGACATTGTAACACTTCTGAAGTCACAAGTAGCAAACTTAGCACGGAGATGCAGAAGCCACGGAACTTGCACAAGCTTTGAACAAAAAAATTGAGCCATTAAAATGGTAACCAATGTTTTACAATGCACGGACACATTTCTTACATACACCACACAGTTCCTGTATTACATCAGAAGTAATGGCCCCATGGCCAGTCAAGACCTGGGAAGCTCAGCAGGTTTCAGCCTGGATGGCGCTTGTTTGGATTGGCGGCCACCTGAACGTGATAAGATGCGTTGCAGACTACATTGTCCACAGAGAGCGAGTTCAGCAACATCCACATTGTTGTACTGTGCCACCGCTGGCAGCGTCTCCGGCTCGTCGATTAGCACCGACCGCACCACTTGACCAGCGTGGTGAAGTATGGTCAAAACACATTACCCCGCCCCGCGCAAAGCCGTGGGGAGGGAGGCCCTCGTCCAGCAGTGGATTGACAACAACAGTGGCTGTGCATGCACATCACAGCGGTGTGCAATGCAGAACGGTGTTGTACAAACGCCGACTGTTGTGTTTAGCTGTCTCGATTATTCGATGGCCCAGGTACAGTCTATGCAGTCTATAGCATTGCAGTAAGCACTGCGTATTAGCACAGAGCAACGCGGCACTCTGATGCCACAGTGACCCTCTCTTCTCAGTGCACGTTTTAACACGTTAACTTTTCTGCACTTTTCACCGTGTAGACTTTTCGTTCCCAAATCACCATTAAGCAACAGCTGGTCACGCACGGTTCACATCTCTGGCTAAATGCTCGTACGCGTGCGTTCATCATTTTTAAAACCTCACCGCTTTCTCTCCTTCTCCACCGTCATGTTGTGTTCGCTTCTTAGCTGTTGTCTTCTTGACGAACTAAGTAACTAATTAAACAAAAAATCCCCACCACGAAACTCCAGCGAAAAACAACTTAAAACCCCACCAACGTAGGAGAGATGAGAAAGTCTGTGGGCACAAGCGCCGACGACGATGATTGCCTCCCCCGGGGACTTTTAAGAAGGCGCAACACGTTTGGAATAAATAAATATTCAAATAAATAATTTGACAGCCCCGCGCCCCGTGGTTTTAAACGTCCGCGGGGTGAAGGTGTCTTCGACGGAAGCAGAAACGACAACTTGAACGACGACGACGTTACTACAATAACGATGACTATGACGATGACTACGATGACGAAGAGGATCGATTACTTTGAAATAGAAGAGGTGGTGGAGAGAGTTCACAGCGGTCCCCGTCGCTTTATTGCCACCACCACCACCAGCAGCAGGGCAGGCAGAGGGGAGGCAGTGGTGAAGTTTCGTCACCCCGCGTCCGCGTCACTTCGCCCTTATCCCTGACGTCGATCACAGAGAGGGGCCGGACACGCCTCTCGAGAAGAGGCCGATTCACATCCGTCACTAAAACGTTGGGTCGGTCGCTCCGATGTCTCGCAGCTCGCTCGGTGATGGCCGAGGAGAGATTAACAATAAACAAAACCAAACCAAAACGGAGCGGAGCGAGCGAGCGAAGCTGGGCACCTTCGGTTGTTGGTTATTCTCTCTCTGTCTGTCTCCCGCGTGCCAAGTTTTTGCTCATTTAACGGCGTTGGTCAAAGATCCCCAGGGCAAAGACTCCTCTTGGGAAAACAAAAAGCGTGTCTTAAGACTCAGGAGAGCACACCTGTCAACCCCTTATCAGTGTCCCCTACCTTATTACAGACCAATTGAGACCTTATTGGTCACCCCGTGCCCCTTATAAATCTCAACGTTCATCCCACAAAGTCCCATCACAAGGGGAGAAACACAAACAAATAGACCAAAAATGTTGCCCGTTCTGAAAAGGCTGTACGCCGTATGGACCTGAAAACTCTATGTCCCTGTACAAGAATACGGGTTAACCGTATGGGTTGACAGGTATGGGAGAGCCTTTCCTGGGTAACAAGTTGTATTCAGTGTCAAACTTGATTCGAAGCTTTCGTGACTGCAGAAATTACTCTTTGGTTCTTTCACTAAAAGTCACGTAGAAATAAATTAGATTAAATAATAACAGATTACGACGTTTCTATTGCAACACAAGCAACCATCATCAGGCACAAATGAATGAAAAAACAAACATAGTAAGCTTGGAAATATAATGCAATACTACACAGAGAGTCGGCTAACACAAGAGTCAACACCCCACCTGGTTGATTCACGTTCTTCCAAAGATTTCTGCATTAGAGACAGAGACAAAACATAGATACGGAGACACACAGACAGACACCCAAGCAGAGAGAGACTCACACAGAGACAAACAGAGAGAGACACACACATGGGCTGGTGTCTCCGTGTCTATGTTTTCTCTCTCTCAAATCTAGCAATCTTTGGAAGAACGTAATCAACCAGGTGGGGTGTTGACTGTTTTGTTGGCCGACCCTCTGTGTTGTATTGCATAATATTTCCAAGCTTACTGTTTGTTTTCTCATTCATTTGTGCCTGATGATGGTTGTTTGTGTTGCAATCGAAACGTCGTATTGGTCGTATTGGTAGTTGAAATTATTATGAAACTCTCCACTCTGGAAAACTACAATTAATGATCATCGTCAGCAGCAGCCATGATTCACTGCTGGATGAAGATTCCCATATTATATTTGCACTTTTTTTTATTATCGTGTGTTTCGTTTACGATCGTTACATACCTCGTCGGTTACTTGTGCAATATTCCTAAAGGACCCTGTACTCGCTCTTGACAATATATTAATGTTTAATCTATGTTTTCTTGTTGCTGCTGTGCTCACGGCACCGTGGATCTCCCATGTAAAATAGGCAGGAAGCTGGCTCAACGGCAGCATCCGTGTAAGACATAAAATAAACCCGAGACTAAACACTCAAAGCCGTCGCCATGTCACAATCCTGCAATGCAACAATCCAACTAGAACCTTCTCAAAAGCTCATTTCACGACATCTCCTCGATAGAGGTTACCCTCGGACGCATTCTATCACTCAGCTGCCACCCCATTATCCTTCACCCCTTCGATTGACGTCCACTTTTCTTACAGTTCGAATTATGTCAATATCCTGCACACGGTCTCTAATCCACGCGTTCCTCTTTCTGTATCTCAATGTAATTCCAAGCACGCATCTCTCCATGCATAAATGTTGGCCACATTTTCAGTTTTCATTCCATTTTCTTCACGAATCTCCACGTTTCTGATTAATTGACTTCCACTTGTCAGCTTACTGAGCTCACCTAACTTCTTTAACCATATAAATTTAGAGCAATGAATTACTCCTCCTATGGAATGGTGTTACCGAATCCCCACATTTCACATGACTGAAACTATACAAGGACCAAAATAAGATGCTCACGCATAGGAAACCCACTTACCTTCTGCGATTATAAAAAAAACTCGTGTTTACAAATTAATTTGTTGCTTTAATCCCAGCTCCTACTCATTGAAGTGATGTAGTGGTAAAACAGAATAAACACTGTTTTCTCAAGTTTCAAAATGCGACTACTCAATATAACTTCTGTTTTTTTTATCAATGCATCACTGGATGAAGGCCTACCTGGGTTTTGTTTGGTCATGTTTCGCCACGTTGGCCAGTTAATAAGGTTTGTAGAGTGGGAGTCGTGGGACTTATTCAGAAATAACTCTGCTGATGTATACCACAGTTGTGAACCGTGCTCAGATTTGCCGGCTTCTTCGCAAAGTGCGCTAAACGAACGCACCACTAAACCACTCCATTAAAATTCATTATACGGTAGTTTAAAGTACAGAAATCATAGACTTCTTGTACCCGCAGTCACCCACCGTAACCGCTCCCAAGTATTATTCTATTTAAAACATTGAGAGGTCTTCATTCAGAATTTGAGAAGAAAACCCTTTGCTGTGAACCGAGGTTAAAAGTTCATGCAATGTAATTACTGCATTTCAAGTTTAATCACGTATGTGCATGGTGTCAAGGATAAGCTGTATAACATAAAACCTTTCTAAATTAAAAAATTATGGTAACCTCTAACTTGCACAACTAGTACTTGTCATTGTGAGGTAAGTATAAAAGTGCACGCAGCATGCCTCCTTAATTTTGGCACGTGTGCCCTGAGAGACCAACCGGCTTTTGAGTGCACACTTTGTTTCAATTATAAAGCCATGCTTTTTAAAGTAACCCATATTCAACATGCAAATGCATACACATGTCTTATTACATATTGCTGTAACTAAATTTGCTGTGCATCTATTAGAAGCCTAGTACTGTAGTGCTATAATTTATTTGTGCAAAGATACTGTTATGATTTTGCATGCTGCATTTGCTATTCAGGCGGTGCAACAGTGGTTAGTATGCTGCGCTACAAACTCGTCGTTCTGCTTTCGATACCTAGCCACGGCTAACATCATGTGCGAATTGTATCAGAATCGAACCTGTGCCCCCCCCCCTCCCCTACCACTTACCGACACTGGCCAGTGTGGTGAAGTATGGTCAAATACTCTTTGGTTCTTTCGGTAAAGTCACGTAGGTATAAAATAAAATCAGATCTGAAACACGGCAGAACTAATACCTCCGCCGTGGCTGACCATTGCTATAATGCTGTGAGCTCTCATGATATTGTTTTTTTCCGAGACCAAGGGACTCTGCAAACCTTCGGGCTACTATCAAAGGTTTATTCATGAAGCTATCCAGATATAAACATAGACATAACTTCAACCGAGAAGATGGATACAAATTGAGCGATCATTGGAAGGATGTTATTAGCCAGGTAAAACCTTAACTGCTTTATGGTGTTGCCTTCATTTTCCGCATCTCCAGCTTCTTCAGCTTCCCACTCCCAGCCCCGCTCACTTCAGCACTCCACTCCCCCTACCTCACACCCCCCCTCTCTATCTCTCCCCCCTTGCTCCTTCCCCCTCTCTTCTGCTTCAGCTTCCCACTCCCAGCCCCGCTCACTTCAGCACTCCACTCCCCCTACCCCCTCTCTATCTCTCGCCCCTTGCTCCTCCCCCCTCTCTTGCCTATATAGCCTCCTGTTACAGCAGCCATTTTTGCCCACTTCAGCAATTGTTTCTTGCTGTGGTTGTCCCACCTGATGACGGACGCGTGTGTTGCGCCCGAAACGTCGTGATTTAATTAATTTTATTTTATACCTACGTGACTTTACCGAAAGAACCAAGAGTATGGATCCCTGCAGTCACGAAAACTTCAAATCTAGATATGGGTCAAATAAGCTTCCATGACCTACGTGGTGTGGAGAGGCCCCTATCCATTTGTGGATTGAAAATGAAATGGCTAGTATTATTTGTAATTTTATCTGCCGATTAAAGTTGAAAAACTAGAATTGCTTTATCCAGTGTTCTATAAATCACTGTAATATATAAATACAGTATATGCTTGTAGCAAGTGTAAATGTCACTTGAAAATTCACCTGATATATTCACTCCCTCTATGTTAAGCCCAGTAGGATGTGGAGGGCTGGATCGGCTATGCCCCCTCTCCTGAAGGTTCAACCACCCTTCTAAATTCTTCAAGTCAAACAAAATGTGAATACACAGAATATGACAGGTACAATTAGGTCATGGGTGTCACAGTCTTTGCTCATATACATAGGGGGTGACTCTGAGAGCTGCAAGAAGACTTCACGACAGACAAATGAAGATCATATTGTTACTCATCCTGTTTAGCATTTAGCATTCATTAAAAGTTTGTTTAACATTGTCTTTGTCGTGCCTGAACGTGAGTTTTTGTATTGCCCCGAATTTAAACAGGGTCATGCTGCAGAGCTGCAGATATAATTACTTTAAATGTCAATTGTGGTGAAGTGCCATGTGGTAGGAATAGCAATGTAGGGCACTAATTTTCCCAAACGAGGATCCTCACCTTGTTGTCTTGTCCACTTTAAATCGTTAAGAGACCTACCCTTAGGAATAAATGGCATTCACCAATATATTCGATATCCATTTTTCTGAAATATTATACCAGAAGATATCTGTCCTGACTCATGTTAATATTGTATTTGATGGTGATTATTTCGATAAATGTTTCTGTTGTCAAGTATGGATACAAGTTTGTAGTTGTGTAATTGCTGTGTCAGGTCAGCCACGTTGTATAAACCCATCTCTGAAGCAGCAGTTGGGTAGACAATGAAACTTTTGTCATTTGAAACAACTTTTCAGTCTTTCATTTTCTTTCCCTATTTGGCTGTTTTTTAACATAGCAAAGTTTATTCGACAAAATGCCATGGGAATCTGCTTTATTGCAGCAAGATTGTGTGGTATAAATGATAGATATATACCCAGAATTTCAATGTAAACCAATGAAAGTCTGGAAAGGTAAAGTACATAACTATGTCTCTTTGCTGTGACTCTGTGGCCATATTTTTTCAGTTTTACTGGTAGGAACCTCCTGGCTACACCAGCCCACAGGCGATTATTGTGTCCGTCCGTCCGTCGTGCATCAAAAAATGGGAGGGGTGGGGCTGGGTGGAGAGGGGAGGGTGGGAAGGGGCTGGGTTGGGAGG